CATACATAAATACTTACATACATACATACACACATGCGTACAACATACTTACGCGTTTTACTCAAACACACAAAAACATACACACGCATACAGAGACAGATAGACAGACCTACAGACAAATATTAGTCTAGCTTATAAGATGGCTTTGTTATCGATCCGTTTGTGGAGACATCCAACAACATCTTTGTCATCGCATTTCAAATTTTTACTAACACTGATGCTATAACTACCTTCACTAGTTCTCTCACTATTATTGTTGTTATACTGTTGTTACAGTGATTGGGTGAACTTTGATTGCAATTTTTAGCAGCCTTCATTTGCTCTTCTTCAAATGCCATATCGTCAACTTCCTCATCTGACTGATCAGAAAATACTTCCGCGCCACGGTCATAACGCGAACTCGCAGACAAATTTTTTATTGTTTTCATCATTGCTGGCATTTAGTTCAGTTACATTACAACATCTACTCAGTTGACGACATAGCCATACTGGTCACAAACTGCTTCTATTTCGCTAGCTTATGTACCTCGGACATCTAAAGGTGATTTAAAAGTTTTGCCGCTAAAATCTACTTCTCATCCGTTAATTCATTCCATCCAAAACAATTAAAAAACATTATTTTTCTTAAAATTCAGCCCAACTAAGCATTCATACATTTCCTTTTCGGTGTGTGCAGTGCAACGCATATTCTTTTCCACATCGAACCGTCATTTCTTCTTTCAGTGACGTCCAACTGCTGGGAGGGAGGGGAGATTGAAGGGGTCTGAAAAATCTAGCGATGATCCAACATAAACTCAATAAAAATGTGAGATTTCATTAGTTAAAATAATAATTGATAATTAGGTAGATAGGAGTATCTCTCTCTCTTTAGGTACCAGTAATACTACCACTACTAAAAGTGGTAGAATTAGTCAAAAGCTGAAACAACCAAACGTTCTTGACAATTCTTAACATTGAATTTGTTAATTTTAAAGAAAAAGAAACAACAAAGAGAAAAGAATGACGAAGGCGAACGCGGGTTGCTTTTTAAAAAAAGTTTATTTTTCATTTTCCAATAAGGTCATCATGATCATCGTCGTCGTCATCATTATTCATCATCTTCGTCAACTGCTATCAAAGCTAAGTAGAACTAAATACATTAAAAAACATATACAATATATATATATATATATATAGTATATATATTATATATATACATATACACAATATGTTTTTATATATATATATACATGATATATAGACATATATATAATATATAAGTTAATATAAACATATATGTATATATATATATATATATATAATCACATGTCTCTTTATATATATACTTGTGTCTGAGTAGTATGTTAATAAGAAGAATAGCAATAATAATAATAATAATTACAAGTTTATGCACAGAAGTCCAATGAAAATAGTTCATAATAAAAATAAAAATATTGATAAGAATAATAAGAAAAAGAACAATAATAATAATAATTAATAATGTGATTAATATTATTATGATGATAAATAATATAATGACGCAGTGAAATGAAAAATTATCAAAATTTATTAAATATTATATCGTAATGTACTATACACGTATGTACATGCATAGGTACGTACATATATATATATATATATATATATATATATATATATATATATATATATATATATATATATATATATATATATATATATATATATATATATATATATATATATATATATATATATATATATATATATATATATATATATATATATATATATATATATATATATATATATATATATATATATATATATATATATATA